TTCATTTAACGGACAAGGAGTACAAAGTTCAACAAAAATAAAATGCAACAATCTCAAGAAGCAGCGTTATTGTGATCTTGGGAGGTCTGCCCAGCATTGACATCAGCACCACTATCGAGCTGCTGTTGCACCGGTTGACTCGAGCTAGACGTCGACCTAGTCACATCGGACGACGGGTTTTGATGAGCAAGGGGAGGAGTATAACCGTCCGGCAGTTTGAAATGGCGCTTCAATAGGTCATCACTATCCACGACGAGCTCGAGGAGACCCGACCACCAGTCGTGGTCAGCGGGCAGATCGAGGTCGCTTTGATAGCCGACGGGGGCTTTGGGCACAGCGTCCCAGATAGCCTCCATATTGAACTCCTCGAAATCGTCCTCGGCTATCTGGGCCTCTGTCTGCTGCATGATGGCCCCAAAGCAATGGGTGCCATAATCCTGCACGTCCTTTAGATATTGTGGCGACTGCTTGAAGGCAGCCACCACTTGTTCACGGTATGCTTGCAAAAAAGGCCGACCCGCGGTGGTATGGAAGACCACCCTCCGTGCCTGAAGTACAGCCTCGTCGATTAGAGGCTTGGCCCGTTGCTCGAAGGCAAGGTTCTCACGTGCTCGAGCCGCCTTCTCCTCCTCAAGTGCAGCCTCGAGAGCTTTCTGGGAAGCCTAGAGGGCCTCTTTCACCGCTCGCTCGGCTGCGAGTGCTTCCTCAAAGGACTTCAAGGCCCCCTCAAGTGTTTTCTTCTCGGAGGTAAGGACTTTATTCTTGGCAGCCGACTCCTTTAGCCTCTGTTGAAGTGCGTGACCCTTGACGACGAGCTCATCCATCCGGTCGCTGAGGAGGAGAGAGCCTCGCTCCATCGCCGAGATGGAACGGCTCGAGCTGGCTGGGGTCTGCTCGATCAATGGTGCAAGTTCAACCATTCCCTATAAGAACACACAAAAGGAAGAGTTAGAGCACAAACAATGATAGGAAGTGAAATGCAATACGCACAAAATTATAATGAGTAACCTGAGCCAGCCAGCGGGCAATGCAATTGCCTCAGTCACGAAGGGTATGACCGTCATTGTAACGGTCAGTAGGAAGGTCGATAGGGAGGAGAACATCCCTGAGGAAGTGTGATACCCCCGCACCGTCGAGGGTGGTGATCGAGGTGACGGTCTCCTCGAGGAGACGGCACTTGCCGACGCTTTCATCACCCTCAACAGGGGGACGCTTAAGTCGATTCTCCTCGAGCAAAGTCTTCTCGGGAGAAGCAAGAATGTGGATGACTGGAGTGGTCTGGTCGCGCGGAGGAGAGTGCGGTCGAGGAGATTCCGGTTGCTCGAGCTGTTCTGGTTGCTCGGGTTGCATCTCGGCTTGAAATTTGATCGAGGATGGTTGCTCGACGGTCAATTCTGGTGGCAGTGAAGCCGAACGGGCGGATTGAGAGGTGGTCGAGTCAGCAGGCTTCGAGCTCGACCCCTGGACAGCTTGCTTCCTTTTCAAAGGAGCTTTTCTCCTACGCACAGAGATAGCAGACATCTCTGCAAGAGATCATGAACAAATTAGAACCATAACAGATAAATAACAGGTGAAACAAACATGTTATCCGTTGGTCGAAAAGCTCACTCAGTAGCAAATACCTGGGTCATCTTTGATTTGGATAAGATCAAGAGTTTTTTTAGAAGGGTGAGAACAAGATTTGTGGGAGAGCAGACCACAGAAATGTAAAAGGTCTTCATCTTCGAGCAGAAGTTTCGACGCAACGGGCTTGGTGTTCCACACAGCTATCCGTTGGTCGAACAGCTCACTTTGAGGGGGAGAGGCATGCTCGCGCGGGAGCTCTGTGAGCCAAGGAGTGGGTGCCCACGGAAAAGGAGGAATGGGCTCGACAAAAGCAAATTTGTCTTTCCATTTTGGGACATTAGAAGGGGTATCGAAGATGAAGTGGATATCATTGTGGCTCTTGAGGTAAAGACCATGAGAGTGTTTGGATGGCGTATAGTAGTAATGGAAAAAGGCTAGGTCGAGTCGACCCAAACGGATGTGGCAGAGGATAATGAAGATGGTGATGAATCGGATAGCATTGAGAGGAAGCTGGTTCAGCGGGAGGTCAAACTAGTCGCATATATCGAGCAAATCCTGGCATAGGGGAAAGCGGACCCCGAGTTTGAACCGAGTCTTGAAGAAGGTGTAGTTATTTTCGGGCGGATGGTCATAAGTCTCCCCGGAGCAAGGAGATCTAAAAGCCTAACCAACAGGATGACCGACGACATCAGTGTTTAGCCATCATGCAATGAGCGAAGAAGAAGAGGTTTGCTGGAGAGAAGAGACTTTAGCCAGTTTTTTCTTATGGGCAGGCTTAGGAGGAAAGATGGTAGCAGAGCCAGATTTAGCTTTAGAAGCGGTGGTAGTCGAGGACCGGATTTGAGACTGAGAAGGATCGATCTTCTTGGGATTGCGCGAAGAAGTGGCTTTAGAGAAGACAGATCGACCAGAAAGGAGAACGTGATCCTCATCTTGATCGAGAGCGACGTCAGCAGCATCGAGAGCCTCCTCAACTGCATCAGACGCCCCGAAGGCCGGTCGACGGCGACGAGTGAGAGGAATGTGATCGAGAATATCATCGCCTGATTCATCGATCAGACGACGAGGGGGAGGCAGAAGAGAAGAGGTGGCACAATCGGAAGGGCGTAAAACACTGAGAGGAGTGGGATTGTAGATTTCTTTAACAGAGCGGGAAGACGAGTGAGGAATAGTCCGACGAGTGGGGAATGATGACGTGGCGGTCTCATCTTCACTGGAGTGATGGCTTTGTGCGTTAGAATCGATGGAATCTGAAAAGTAGAAAGGAAATTGAGAGGAAAAAAAAAGAGTTAGGGTTTTGGGAGACGAAGAAGGGGGTTTTTTCCACAGACGAAACGAGAAGGATTTTGGGGAAAGGAAGAAGCAACAGGGAAAATAAAAAATCGATAAAATAAAAAAACACAAGTACAAAATTGAAGTGTAGGAGACTTACTCATGGTTGCAGTAGGAGGCGGTCACCGGAAAAAGCTTGAAGCTGGTGAAGCGAAATAGCCAAAAGCAGGAAAACGCAGTTCGCAGAGGAAGAAATTAGGGCACAAATATGTAGAGGTGAGGAAAACCTTAAAAATTTACCAAGTGTCGTATTTATAAGAGGGCAGAGGAATAAGGTGAGGAGTTAGTTGAGACAGTCGTTTAATAAAAGGAGATCCAACGGTGGGAAGAAATTAAAGAGGCACAAATAGCGAAGCGGCACAAATTGCGAGGAGGCAGGATGATTAAAGGTACTGAGCGGAAAGGACATGTGGCAGGCAGAAATTACGCTAATAATAAAAGAAAATACAGGACAGTTAAAGTGCACCATAAAATCGATCGCGTGGTCAAAGAATGGTGTTGGCATCAATCGAGATGATCGAGAGAGGAGGTCAGATCTAAGCAGGATATCGAGAGGTCGGCAGAATAGAGAAGACAACACGAATTCACTCTTAGATCGAGTCATTTAGGCTGATCCAATCTTAGATCGAGTCATTCAGACTCAACCAGAGTGAGAGGGGGGACTAGATGATATGGGATATTATATGCCTATAGAATAAACCGGTTTACCATGTTGATCGCGCGAAGCTTGACATCGGAAAAATCGTATTGGTCGAGCAATAATTGGCCAAAAGGGAAGTGATCGAGCACGATAACAGATATGGTCGATGATCGACCTGGTGAAAGGGGAGCTCGAACTTATCGAGCGCTCGAGGGGTGAAGAGCAATCGAGGGTGTGGTTGGAGCGCGAAGGGGCGCGTGGACTTTGTCAGACAATCTCAACGGAATGCGCAGAGGAATAATCTCCCTCCACTCAGAGGAACACGTGGCGAGAGTACATTGGTGCAGAGCAATAGTGGCGATAACCACCTCTGGCATCTCTGACACACGCACACTGTGTGTGTACGGACGGGCAGTGTGGGTAGGACAGCTCACCAAAATTCGGGCAGCTCCTAGGGCAGGTATCTCACTCCTATATGTATAGGAGTGAGCCTTTTTCTTGTGACTTACGATTTATCCATTACATCCTTCGGAGAATTGAGTAAAATATACACTGACTTAAGCATCAGAGACTCTTCACCGGAAAAATCCCCCGGTGTGAGAGCTCTTTGCAGGAACGCGGCGTTCTACCGGCGCGGAGGAGGAAGACGAGCCGATTTCAAGCCGATCGAAGTGTTTTGCGTTACCAAATTGCATAGAATTTAATTATGATTTCGAATTTATATCAATGATGTTTAATAATTGCACAGAATTTCAAAGATGTTTATTTATTATAAAAAAATTAAATTCTAAAAAATCATTTGTGTATATTTGTTAAAATGTTTGTATAAAATGTTTTACTTTAAATAATTTATATAATTTAAATTAATTACATTAATAAATAATATGAACATATATTAAATATTTTAATTACATAAAACACAAAGAAGAGAAGACTACATCTATAACTTGTGTAAATAATATTAATAAAATTATATTACAATAAATTTTATAATAAAATAATATGAGTATTATACGAGGAACAAGATTACGTAAAATTGTTATTTTTCTTATATCAAGGAATAAATATATATAATGAAATCAAATTTATATTATTATAAACATGCGAGCGAGATAATATATTAGATAATTTACGGGCTAGCGCTACCAGACTCAGGTTTAATGTTTCGACAAAAAAAATGACGTTGATGAAAAGATGTAAAAAGATAGATGATCAAGCTCTATTATTTTTTAGGCTTGAACGGACAAGCTATATGGTTCACTCATTTAATATCTCCCGTGAATCGCACGAGCTACTTAACGGACAAGCTCTGTGGAAATAACTCATTTATTACTTATGTCCCGTGCATCGCACGGGCTACGTACTAGTCTATTTATTACACAGAATATAAATTTCAAAAAGTCCTGTTTTCAAATGTTGTGTTTTCTTTGAAGTTTGAAGATAATGGATTCATTGCAATTAACTATGGCTTTATTGTTATACCATACATAGGCTTTTCCATTACATCAAAAAAGGTTATGTATGCCTTCTTCCATATAAGCTCCACTGAGATGAAGCCTTCCCCATCATAATAGAAGTGTGTAGTCTCACTATGGAGCTCATAGTGAATCTTGTTTTTCCAGGCCTTTGAACCTCCCCCGCTCGTCAAGAATTGCATCAACCTTCATAGAAACACCACTCTTGAATTATTGAATTGTATATGTCTAAAAAAGATTGTTGAATTTCATATTGTACCCTTTTTGGTTGCTAAGGTGCTCCAAGCAATGGTCATGTCCATTAATGTACATATCCACCTTGTTTGCCTGGAAAAAAGTTTATGGAAATAGCCAATGATGGCTATGATCAGAATTCTACATTATTTTTAATATCCTGAGAGGGTTTTTATTTTTTATTTTTCTTGAAATGAGAAAGATAGTTGGTTTTATTACAAGTAGTTTTGGTATTTACCATTTTGAAAGGTAAGTCGTTTTTTCTATGATTAGCTTAAAATCGCATATTATAATTAGGTGGTCATATTAGAAAATAGTCCTCTCATTTCGTAAAAATGAAATATATAGTCCACTTTTGTAAAAGTATGAATAATAGTCATTTTGCCCTGATATTACCAAAATAACATCTCCAAACTTTTTCCACTCATAACAAGTTTATAGAATTATAGAAATGATTTGTAATGCTTTATAGAACATATAAATAATATTTTTTAATTATATAATTAATTTCTGGGTATCTAGAAATGGTTTCTAGAACACATAAACAATGTCGTGAATTTTTCAATTGATTTATGGAATTCTAGAAACAGATTATGGGTGTTAGGAACTATACATTTAAAATACTAAATTCTGTAGTAAAGATGATTGTGTCATTGCACAGAACACAGAACAAAATAATACTTTCACAAAAAGTGGCTATATTTCATCTCTGCATTTGCTACTTGACTATATTGACTATAAAATTAAGGTACTGTGTAATTAATCATGCCTTATTTATTGTTATAGTACCTCGAGAATGGGGAGAAGTTGATCAACAATTTCATGAGTGTCACCATGATACCCAATGCTCCTAATTGCGTGGTGTCCAACTACTATCTTCCAGGGAGCCAACGATGTTTTAAGAGACAAATCCAGGTTCTAAGTTTCAAACATCCCAATAATGTGAGTTTTAACTCTTGTTTTATTAGAGTTACACAAACATAGACAAGAGTTACCCTTTTAAGGGATGAGAGATATTCATCCCTTGGCATTATACCACTCCAATCAAATCTCTGTTCCTTAGGGTTGTCAAAGTATGTGTTGACGAATGGAGTTGTGTCAATGAAAATGATATCCGCGACTCCTTATCAAGTGGAAAGTATAAACCCATTTAGAGTGCATACTAGATGAAGATGAAATATTTTTTACTCTAGATGTAATATTATTATCTCCTTTTTTTTTTTAAATGGAAGGTGATAATACAATGAGTAGCTACATATGTAATGATATTTTCAGTTATGTGTATGGTTGCATTTTATAATGGCAGGTGATAATAAAATTAGTAGCACCTGCTCGAACGATGAAATTCCTTTTGCAATTCCATCGTCTGTCGATTTTCTTGAGTTCTCGACTCAACTGGGCGCCGGTATTCCCTTGATAATCATGGTTCCCCAACACTACATTGTAGAATGTAAAGATTGGAGCACTAGGTATGTCGTAACAAGGGATTAAAGCATTTGCATCCTTGAATAATAATAATAATAATAACTAAGGATTATGATTTATAAGTTACCTGTGTACCATGGCTTTTGAAGGCTTTTGGCAGTGTAAATATTAGTAAATGACTTCCTGAAGAAGGGATCAGCCACACTTTTCAAACCCTTATGGTAGAAGTTGTCACCGGTCGAGATCACAAAATCAATGTTTAACTTCTTCCCAATATCTCCCATCTGAAACAAACTCAACTTAAAACATACTAATTTACCTTTCAATATTTACATTTATCTAACCTTCACCTGATGAGACCGATAGAATTCAATCAATCAATCAACAAGGCTTTAAAATCTCACTAAGACCGATAAAATTATTTGAGAAAAAAAAAAAAAGTTACTTTCCAGTTCTCATTTCACATTGTTGCTTCCATCTTAATCCTATCTTACTAATGGAAAACCAGATGTAAATTTATTTATTACACCTAAAAATATGATGCGTTTTCCGTATCAAAATCTTTTGATATATTTTCAATAATATTTGTCTAATACATATAAGTTTTGAAAAAATTAGACTACACGTACATGTCTTCTTTATTTTATCAATGCAAAATTAGTTTTGACATGCACGCACACATACATCTACATCTATATTTGTATAATGAACATATCTTTGTTATTATATTTATCATAGTTTTGAGCGAGAAAATACTTTCATCTATATTTAGCATATAATCAACCTTTATTTATTAACAAATTTTATATATGAACATCAATTATTTTTTGTTTACTCAATGACTAATATTCTTAAGTTATAAATTAAATTAAATAAAATATTGATTGATTACAAAATGTTGATTGATTACAAAATATTGATTGATTACATATACTTTCAATTATATCATAATATTAATTTCAAAGTAATTGTTGGTACAATTTAAAAATTATTCATTATAATTATGAAAATTGATTTGATTATTATATAATTATCTCGTGGTTGTAGATATTGATTTTATTAATTATGTTCATTTATCAGAAGCACGTAAAATATAAAAATATAACTAGAATAATTTTGTTTGAAGCATTAAACAAAATTTTTATCTTCATTGAATTTATCATTTCAATTGGGACTACATTAACAAAATTATTATTTGATGCAGTAGGGTGAAATTAAGAACTATAAGTTTCACGTTAGAATATCTATATACATAAAAAACGATTCCAAGTTGTAAAAAAAATATATCATTTTTATTATACTTTATTAAAAAAGAAAATGAGTAAATAAGATAATATAGTCAAATATAATAACTAAGATTGTATTATTTGGTAATAATTCAAATACATAATTTATCTAAATATTTAAATTGTATATTTATACACTCGTTATATATGTTGGAAAATAAATTAAATAAATAGACATACAAAAAATTAAAAATAAAAAAATAGTGGACTATGAAAAAAATTGGTTGCATAAGCAATTAAAGTTACTACAATTTAAATTTAATTATCAAACAATTAATATTTCGTGTGTCTACATTTATAATAAATGAAAATAAATTTTATGAGTTAAACGTTAGTTAGTTATTGAGCAATATACAAATATGAATTGTTTAAAAAAGGTTATAAGATCAAATAATCGGTAATTTTATAAGTACATGTAATTAATTTATATACAAACATCATATTTATCTTAGATAGTAATATTATTCTATAAACTTAGTAAAATATATATATTAAATTGTCAAGACCAACAAAAAAAATTAAAAAAATAAAAAATATTCAAATAAACTTTATATTATTATTTACTTGATATATAGTGTTGGCTAGAATTAACATATTATCTAAAACAATTTAACAATATTTAAATAATGAAATATTAATTTATAGTACATTTCGTGGATCGCACAGATATCAACGCTACTATTTATATATCTATGTATATAAACTTTTTTCTGGTAGCACCAAGATTAGTGTTGGCTCGATAAAAAATCTGATCACATTACATTGTTAATGGCAGGGCATTGGGAAAACACAAAATATATTGGAGCCGAAACTTGGAATAGTTTTTGAAATTGTAGGTAATGTACTAAGGTTTATAAATGTTTTAATAATTATTAAAGTATATTGGGTTTCAGGATGAGACATCTAAGAATGCGGATGGACATCACAACAAAAATTCATCCACAAGTGCTTATTTGTTCATGTAAATGCATTAATAAAAAAAGAAATACTCGGGAAAAGACGAGTTGGGAATTTTTATTGAGAGATAAGTGTAGAAATCGAAATTTAATATTTTATTACTGTGAGTTAAGTGTCGGCATCGAAATATTAATATTTTATTAATCAACGTATTTATTTATTTTTGAACATAAACTCAAGATAAAATAAATAAGATGTATAATTAATAAATTAATCTTTTATCCACCAAGTAAATTCTAGAATAAGGAAAGAAATTATATTGAAAAGATCAATAAAATTGATATTTTCATCTCCAAGACGCTACACACTATAACTAGGCTTCTCTCTAAGCTAAAAACCACACCTCATAAATCAAAGGTGTTTTGAAGATCTAAAGGTGTTTTGAAGATAAAGACATTCAAGTTAAAGATCGACGTTTAAGTCCAAGTCCGTCTCTAAGAAGAATCAAAGAAGAAAGACTGTCAGTAAGTCATCTTCAATCAAATCAAGTCCAAACGTTTAATACAAAATAATCATTCGACCCCCAAATTAATGGTAGAGAATTCAAGATCAAGTCCTAAGGAAATCCGTCTTTGAAGATCCAAGTCCACGAAGAAAAGAATCAAAGGATTCCACATAGATATTGTACTCACAATGTCATTTGGTCGAAATAAAATCATGTTGTACAAAAGCGTTAAGTTTTTCATACATTTTGTTGTTACAAATTTGGCACTCCTAGTGGAACATTCTCTAACTCTCATCTCTTCACTTCAAGTCAAGTTCGAAGATCTTTGAAGATGCATGAAAACTTTGAAGAAAATGTACAAGGGGACTACAAAGGATAATGTCTCCCCAAACCATGACGCCTTCATCCGAATGGCAGAAAAACAAAAAAAAAGGTATCCTTATTCATTTCATATTCCATGGGATCAATTTATATGAAGAGTTTCATCAAAACTCCAATTTAAATGTTCTTTGATATGAGCCTAAACTACCTTCAATTCAAATGCTCCTTGATACAAGTATAAACTATCTACAAATATAAGTACTTATTAATTTGATACTAATCTATCTACAATGCTCCTATTTACAAATTAAATACTCATTAATTCGAGCCTAAACTATCTACAATGCTCCTTGATATGAGATTAAACTATCTAAAAAGCTCCCTGACACGAGTATAAAATGCCTACAAAATCGAGATTTCCTTGACAAGAGAATAAACTACCTACAAGTCAAATATGTAGCTCCTTGACACGAGCATAAAATATCTACAAATTTGAAGGCTCCTTGACACGAACATAAATTGTCTAAAAAATCAAGATATACTTGACAAGAGAATAAAATGTCTATAAATCCGAAGACTCCTTCATACGAGCATAAACTATCTACGAATTCGAAGGCTCTTTGACAAGAGCATAAAATGTCTACAACATTTAAGGCTCCTTGACGAGCATAAAATATTTATAAATTCGAAGGGTCTTTTATACGAGTTAAAATGTTTATATGTTCAAAGGCTCCTTCATACGAGTATAAAAGATCACTAATCATATAAAGAACTTTAGACACAAGTATAAAATGTCTTTAATTCAAATCAAATCAAGTCTCCTTGATACGAGTATACATTATCTATAAATTAAGTCAAATGAAGAACTCCTTGATACGAGTGTAAAATATCAGTCAAGTCAAATCAGTAACTCCTTTATTCGAGTATAAATTATTTATCACATCAAATCAAGACTCCGTGATATGAGTTAAACTATTTACAAATCAAACAAAATAAAGAACTTCATGATACAAGTTTAAACTAAAAACAATTTGATTGGTCCTTCATTATTTGATATTATCTTTGTCCTTCTCCTAGGATGACTTGGTGGGCAAAAATTAATTACTTTATTAATTAAATATCATATTTATCTTGGATTTATGTCTAAAAAATAAATAAAAATATTAATTAATAAAATATTAAAATTTCGATACCTAGAGTAAGATTTAAAATTAAAATTTATTTTATTGAATAAAAATAAAAGATCTTCTTGCTAATTAATTTTAATAAAAATAAATAAATACTAGTAGTGTACGTATATCTAGTTATAAATGCTGTTTTCCCACTTAATGCCAATGCAAAAATGTTGATTGAAAGCGATATTATNCATAAACATATATGATATATCCAACGGAGTAGGACATGGTGATCTTGGTCCCATGCTCCCATGATGAAAATGAACAAGGACAAGAAAATTCGAGTAAGAAGGAACCACAAAATAAATAAATAAAAGAAATCTTAAAGCAAGAATAATAGAACACATGGTATTATGTGACCTTGTTAGCGACTTGAGATTGATTGAATGCGCCACCTCTTCCCCAGTCTCCCACAACTAAAAACGCGAGAGTCCCACCATTCGTAGCCGTTGAGTGTTGGATTTTCGAAAACCCAACGTCAAGACCAGTAACGAAGTCGGCCCACAAACAGCCCATCATTACAAATCCACATGTCCAAATCCAGCAACTGCACAACCCACCCATTTTCTGCTTAAGGCTGCTTTTCAGATCTTACTCTATTACTACGGTCTGGACTTAATTTGCTCCACGATATTGCAAATAAACAGGGCCCTAAATTAAAACATATCACAATTAATGCAGTGAAGAGAAGAACCATTTTTCATCTGAAGATATATGTGTCATAAATGGCCCCAAATAAGGATTGTTTGGACTACTTTTTGAGGTTGTACTTGCTTTACGTGATAGATACAATCTGGATTTGGGCTATTAAGCTGGATAAAAGTAATTTGGAGATGGTGATATATGAATTATGAAATGTGATCAAACACGGACATATATGATCCTAAGATATAATAATTCTTTGGTGATACATGATGATTTAATTAGTCTGTCAAAATTATATATGACTGGTCAACCAAAGTAATGATTATGGAAAGACTATTTATTTAGTTTTATGCCTACAATTATAAAGAAAAGGCTTGTACAGTTCTGAATTACTTTTGTAGTGGTAATTTATTACGATTAATAGTTTATTAATAATTATTTTAAATATTCCCAAGATGGTACCTTAATGGAGTATGTGAAACCGTAATTTATTCAAGGTCTAATTAGTAGATAATGGCAAAGTCATGGATTACGTGAAGTTGGAATGACCAATGTGTTCAAAATTCGAAAGTCCATCCGGACAAGTAACGTAATTTGGTAGACAATACTTGTACAACTGAATCTTACAATACTCGTGGTCTATTTTCTGTTAGGGGCAAAAACAATGCTACTTGTTACGAATTTCCCAAGTGCCATTTTTTCCATTTTAAAGCGAAAAAATGGGGATGGGGTGAATTTTTTGTCCAGCCTTTTTACAAAAAAAAATAGTACTAAAACATTGTCTTTTCTTCTTTCCTGCCTTGCGAAGTTGGGATAACATGGGATAAGGTCATAATAAATGTTATTAACTTTTCATTTTTCTCTACAGATCTACAGTATAATGGAGGGTAGAAGGAGAATCAGAAAATTAATTTTATCAGTTGCTTCGTTTGGCTGTTTCTATCCATCTCGAATCTAAAAACAGTTTTTGGGACTCTTGTATCGAATAATTTCACCGAGAATTTGATATCCTCAACCTGAAATTCGGTCATAATTTGTTAGAAATTGAAAATAAACAGTAGTGCCCCATTTCGTTTTAGGCGAGTTTGCGTATTTTAGTTTTCGCCTCGTTTATATTTTAGATATTTTTGCTTGCCAAAAATCCTCGTTTTAGCATTGGTGGATTGTTTTTAGATATCTTTGTCTAGATGATCTCTTGTGTGGATCGATTTTGTAGACATGATCGTCTACTTAAATTATTTATGATTTTTTAGCCTTTGATGGAGTTTATTTTGATTAATTGGTTGGCTTCGTCATTTAAATCTTTTATTTCTCGTCAATCGTTGAACATTCGTCCTCTGTCATTTCAATTTATTTTAATTCGCTCGTTTAATCGTTCAAAAATTTTGAATATTCGTCGTTCAATCGCGTAAGTTTATTTTCAAACCGTTTTCATTATTTTCTCAAACCTTAGTCTCGGCCCATTTCTACTTATATTTTTCGGCCCATGGTGTTCATTAGTTTCGGTTCAACGTCTTGAAATCCGGCCCCGAAATGCCTTATCATTTTCAACCTTAACTAGTACGTACCCCGTGCGATGCACGAGACAAAAATATTAAATAAGTTATTTTTCATAGGCTCTGTCCGTTTAAGTCTAAAATGCTTTTCCACCTCTTTTAATCAGCATTACGTCTAATAAACAATAGGGTTAAAATCTATTCCACATCTTTTAATCAGCGTTGTTTTTTTAGCCAGAACTTTAAATATGAGCATGTTAGGGCTACCTTGTAAAATAATTAATATATTATCTCACTATCACATTTATACTAATATAAATTTGATTTTAGTATATATAGTTTCTACTTGATATTAGAGAAAAAACAGTTGTACTTATTTTTTTCATATCACCATATAATACATAATTATTATTTTATTATAAACTTTGTTGTCATATAATGTCATTATTATTTATAAAAGTTATAGAAGTTGTACATCTTCTTTTTCCATGTTTTTATGTAATGAAAAATATTTAATGCACGTTAGTATTTGGTAACGCAAAACACTCCGACCGGCTGAAAATCGGTTCGCCTTCTTCCTCCTCGCTGGTAGAACGCTGCGTACCTGCAAAGAACTCTCACACCGGAGGGGTTTTTCGGTGAATAGTCTCCGATGCTTAAGTCAGTGTTTGTTCTACTCAAATCTCAAGAGTAAAAAATGGATAAATCGTGTTGAACAAGAAAGACCCACCCCTATATATATAGGGTGGATATACTTGACCTAAGGGCTACCTGGATTTGCTGAGCTGTCTGCCCAAAGCTGCCCAGGCCAGCCCGTCCGTACACACACAGTGTGCGTGTGTCAGAAGCGGTTATCGCTGGTCACCAATGTATTCTTGCCTCGTGCCCTTTGCACATGGTATAATTATTCCCCTAAATATTCCTTTCAAGGGACTCACGCGCTCTCTTGCGTCTAAGTCACGCCCCAAATTGCTCTCCACCTACGAGGTGGTCGATTATATGATCTCTTGTTCAATAAGTCGGTCTTCAACCAGATTTCTCCTGTATTCAAGCCCGATCATATATCTCCTTACCGAGATTCCTCTTATCATACCTCCGCAGTCTCTCGATCATCATCGTTCTACTCGATATTCTTCGACCACCGCGGCTTTCCCACTATTAGATTTATTCGGCCGATCTTGAAGACGGGTTTATTCCTTCAGATGTATAATATCCCATATCATCTAGCCTGACCAACGTGGATTCGAGNAATCTAGTCGAGACATAATGACTCGATCTAAGAGTGGATATGCGCTCGCCCTTCCATTTTCCCCACTACTTGACCACTTGGTGCTTTTCCTCTATTCTTCGACCACTTAGTTGATTTTCTCTTAATCTTCAACCGTCCTTCTTTTCCCTCATCATTAATGCAACTTTATTCTGCCACCTGTCCTGACTGTCAGGTACGTGTATCATCACGTCTCCTCGCGATTTGCGTCCTTTTGAATCTCGTGCCCCTTAAGTATTTCCAACTATTAGATTTCACTTTAATCCAACGGCTACATACATTAACTCTTCACCTTACTTTCCTTATACCCATATAAATATCCATACTTAGAATTTTCCAGCTTTTTTCACCTTTGCAAATTTCGAATTCACTTGTGCCCTAATTTTCTCCCTGCAACTTGAATTTTCTGCTCCTGGCATTTCAGTTTCCCATCAATATCAAGTTTTTCGGCAACTTCCTTTCTACCGCGACATTGAGTAAGTTCTCTGCACTCTGAATTTGTATATTTTCCTTCTGTTAATTTTCAATTTTCTTGTTAATTCTTCTTTTTCAACACTTCATTTATACCCTAGCCACAACATCTTCCCATTTTCTTCCTTGCTTTTCTTCGAAACCTAAAATTCTTTCCTTTGATTTTTTCTCCTTTATTTTTCAGATTCCGCTATCTCAAGTAAGAATGACCGCCACTCTGGCAAGGACATGTTCTCTCCCTCTTCATCTCCGACTCCTTGACCGATACCACATTCTCCTTCTCATTTTGTTGAGGAAATTTACCATCCTGTTCCTCTCTACGTGGTTCGTCCCGATGACTATTCTGGGTCTGCTCCTCCACCTCAACCTCATCGTCCGATCGATGAGTCAGACGAGGATACTCTAGACCATGTCCCTCTCAGTCGTCGCTCCCGACCTGCTTTTGGTGCTTCTGATGCCGCAGAGCATCTCTAGATGCCGAGGAGGCCTGTGAGAAGATGAGGACCATATCCCTCTTTCTCAACGTACTATTCCATCCAAACTCTCCATTGCCAGCAACCCTGGGACATCTGTTTCTCCTAAAACCAATTCCAAATCCTGATCCTCGACCGTTCCTGCTTCTTCTAAGACCAATCCTAAACCTTCGACCGCTACCCCTTCCTCTAATCCTTCCCGGAAGAAAAAATCGACCCGGGCTGTTTCTTCTAGGAAGGCCCCTTCATCTTCTCGAGTGGCTGGCTAGTTGGAGATCGATGATGTCGGCCACCCTCCTTACTGGGGCTTCACGTCTCCTGGCGCCAAAGATTCCTACGACGATCCTCCTGAAAATCACTATACCATTTTCGAGGCCCAATTCAAGCTGGGAGTCCGTTTTCCTCTATGCCAAGATCTGATCGACATTTGCGATTGGTTCGGCCTTCCTTTGAACCAACTTCCCCCAAACACCATTCGCTTCATTACTACCTTCATCATTCTCTCCAATATTCGTCTAGGTCGATTCGACCTGGACTTTTTTCATTATTGTTACATGCCCTCCAAGCAAACCAACGGGCTTTATGTAAAAAGTCGCAACGGGACTCATTTCATCTCTAATGTTCCCTCTAATTGCCCCTAAATGGAAATGTAAATTTGCCTGTGTCGAGCCCGACACCGCCTTTTACTGGGAGTCCACCCCTTGGCTTACCGAACTCCCCTATGAGCTTAAGAATCCTCCTCATGACCCTTTTTTCGAGCAGCGCATTGCTGTTTGGAATTCTAAACCGGTCATTTCAAAGACTCTTCTCGAAAATGGCTACCTATTGCACTTCTGTGGTATCCTCAGCCACAAATCTCTATCTCCTCCCACCTAAGAAGTCGTCGACTCTATTCAAGTAGAGGGCGATCCTGGTATTTCTCGATCACCTTGCTCGAATGTTGTCGTGTTTATACCTTCATATAAACTATTTATTACAATGCTAACTTATTTTCATGATTCTGCTCGCAGAGATGCGTGCTGTCCCGGTTCTTAAGAGGAAAGTTCGTCTGAAGAAGAAGTCTGTTCAAGCCTCCGGCTTCCGACCATCCGACTCGACCACACCCCACCCCGATCAATCGACCTCTTCCTTGGAGGTACGGACTCATAATATGCCGGTCCAAGAACACGCCGAGGAAACATCACACCCACTCCCTTCCGACAATCCACAGTC